TTACTCAAGATTTCATCTGTGCTTGACGTAAGCCATATGCTTGTGCCGGTCCTGCTCCTACCAAAAGCCACAGTTGAATTGCCAAAATTAATGCTGATTACTGAAGCTGTGTTATTTTGTGTTGATCTCCACAACCCGATTAGTAGCTTGGAAAACCCTTGGATACTAAGATGGAAAGTGTAAGTGCAAAAGTCTGAGTGATTCATCTTGATGCAAAACAATTGTTCCAGACTTTATAGGCATATGGAAATGAGCAGGACTTGACACTGAAGCTCTGAGTCATTATATGTGTGCAAAGCTCTGGAACAACTAAATATTTGAAAATATTCTTTCACTTGTCTGTCTTCTCCTTTCCATTTTGCCTTTCTAGCACTGCTATGTTTTTTGTTGTTGTGTTTTTGTTTTTAACTACTACATTATTTTTAGCTTCTGTCACAAGCACTTGTTATGCTTTCTCAGTTGTATTACGTTTTGGGTCAGCCCCAGCAGACCCACTAGTTCTCACAATGTTCAAGTAGAAGTGAAATAGCAATCTAGATTTCCTCAACTAAATGCTTGTAATTAATGAAACTTAACAAGGAATATAAAGCATAAAGCAGTTGTTATCCCAGATTTTCAGGCAAGTGTGTTCAACTCTACTGAGGAGATCAGGTACGCAATTCCTGGAGCAGTTTTTACATTGTAATGTCTGATACGAAGAAGACTGTGTGACGGCTTAATCTAGACCTTCATGTGAGGCAGCTTCAAGCCATATTTAGTTTAGGGAGAACTGGGGAGAATCGTGGATCTTGTCTTTATCAAACAGTTCCTTTGGAGAAGCGGGCTGTATTCACAGCAGTGTTGTAGTCCTGGGGGTCCAAAAAGTTAAGAGATCAGCTTGCAGGAAGAAGTACTAGCTTTTACAAGATTATAACAATCAGAAAAAGCAAATATTTTCAGATGTGCAAGCCTTTCTCTAAGTATAAAACATAGAGCATACCCCCACAAAAGCATCTTTGAAACATAATTGAATGTGACTTTGGTCCACACAGCATGGAGAAAATGTAGTTCAAGACTAAAATACTGTATAGTACCTAAATAAGCAAAAACCTTGCTATTGATTTTAGGATCAGTGTGTATAATCTATGAGGATATCTTGTTTACATATGCTTCTTATGAAGATTTGCAAGTAGCTGTTCCACTGCCCCTAAAATTCTGTGCTTTTCTTTTCTCAGCTATTTAGAAAAAATATGTTATTTGGGGTTTCTTCTTATTGGACTCTCTAGTATTTTTTCTTTCATCATACTTATTTAAATTTTTAAGGCTCAACTTCAGCAACTTTTAGCTTCTCTTTACCAGCCTCAAGATCCTAGTACCTAGTGCTGTCCACTGTGCTCTGGTCTTCATATCTCACTGACTCTGCAGTTCAATAGAAATAGTTACATTGAGGAAGGCTGTCAAAAGGTGTCTGAGCCAAAATCTAAGCTTTTATCTGTTTTGTGTGTGTAAAGAGATATGTTAATGGCATTCATCATAATCAAAAGAGTATTAAAGTGTGTTAAATTATAGTTAAGAATCTTCACAAAGCACTCTAAGGTTTATGTATAAGAAAAGATCTCATTAACTGAGATAAATTTAATATTGGTCGTGTTTATCTTCAGAGCTGTGTATTGGGAGTTTTTGACCCAGCTCAGGCATTCCTAAATAGTTGCTGCTGGTAGCACTGGTGGTAGGGATAGGCTATCAGCTTCCAGCTTTGAAATGAGCTGTGTGTCACTTTAGTTTATATGTTAGTTCACAAAAGTGAATTAGATGCTTTGCTCTTATTGTGTTTCAGAATGCCTTGGTGGTTCAGGTATATGGCTTTTCTCTTTGGTGTCTGTTACTAGCTTCTTGCTACAGTTTTCATAGGTAGATTTCATATCTGTTGTTTTATCTCGTAGCAGTATGAGTTTTAGTCAAGTTCATGTGGTCAAGTTCCTTGGGAGAAATCTTAAGTGGAAGGTGCCAGAAGTGTTTAACAGCTTTTAAGGTAGTTCATAGTCATGTGCTTCAATGGGAAACTGCTTCTCTGTTGATTTAGGACAATTGTTTGCAAAGGGTTTACATCCCTAGATGGAAAGTGCAGTGGATGTATGGGTTTCCATCATAAATACGATTGTTTAGTCACCGAATCATAGAAGCTGTCAAAGTCTTTATTCATTTCTCATTACCCTCTGTTGGTAAGAGGAGGCTGGGGGTGTGGAGTGGTGCTGAAGAATCCTTCCAGTGTTTAATGAGCAGCTTTATGCATTTATGGAGGAGTTTGACTAAGGCTGAAAACGTCCATGACATACAATAGGTTGCTTCTCATTGGATTTTAAAGGAGAAAGACTTTGATCGTTTCAAAAGCACTGGAGCCTGATGCTCCAGTGAAAAAGGAAAGTGGTAATTTATAGCTACCGTTAAGGAAACAAAGGCAAAGACTGAGGGGAAAGTTTCTCTCTGAAGACTTACTAATGTGTATCAACCACCCTTAGGACTAGAAATAGTTTGGTGTTTCCCACAGAACAAAAAAGAAAGCAAAACGGGGTGGGGGGAGAAGTGCCTGCCTTCATTTGCACCCTGAAAGGGCTACTCAGCATTCAGTACACGATACTTCAGCCGGTAGCGAGCGGTCACCTCGGCCGCCGGAGGGCCGGGGAAGGGAGCGGGGCGGGGGCTGCTGTGTGCCCCC